TGTAGCATGTGCTTGTATTTTGCACACACCAGCAAAGCTCGTGGTGGTGGTGGTTGCTTAAACAATTTCAAAACACACATATTTTTCAGACACAATCTCCATGCAATATTCATGATTATTAAATGACTGTAGGTTACGCTATGGACACATAACCTACAAAGCATGCATATACCATAACCTAAACCGTAAACACTATGGTCTGCAACCTGCCACACCCATTGGTCCTCTACTTTTCGTCTGCTGTAATTTTTCAAAGTTATTAGTTAGAAAGAAGACCATGCATCATTACATCAATATTAGACTTTGTATTCCTCAAATCAGTTTAGTGTGTCCTGACTTAAGTAAATATTTGTGCAATTTGTAAATAATTTAAATTGTATTTATTAATGCAATAATTAAAATGAATTTCACATTATTTTCATGTTTCGTGGGCATTATGCGGTCTTACCTTTACTAAAGAAGGCATGGTGTTTGACGTTGTATTAAAATGGCGGTTTTAAATTTTTGACAGTAGGCTGCTATTTCTAATTCAGATCTTATTGAGAATTAAATTTATTCTTCCCCACGACCGTGAGATCTTTTTTTTTAGGGCGACCGAAGTGCAATATGATATTTTCATTATCTTAATGTTTGTCTTTTCCCGCACCCAGAAGTATGGGCAGTTAAACAAACCGTGGTGCGTAGGTCATAATAGACTCATTTCAATTTTTTTGTAATAAAAATTGTGTTCTGTAGTGTTAGCTATTGTAAGGAAATCCCTGAGAAAGCCAGAGTAAAGCTATAATGACGTTTGTAAACTGTAATTACTTTCGAAGAACCAAAGGTTTTGCTCCAAGGAACTTCTACGAGAAAGAAATGTAGTCGACCGTAGCAGTGTAATCTGCATACACATAAATAATGCGCGCCTGATCCTGTTAAATGACCGAATTAAAACTGCAATATCCTATTGTGTAAGTAAGAAACTCTTCTTTACTTTTAGTTGCGCTGGGAATAACTTTGTGGTAAGTTAAATAATTAATTATGATTGACGTGTCTGTGAAAAAATCACAGTAAAAATTTAAAACGTTTGCACACATTTTCTTAATATGACACTAACAGATACTACATCTTGATTTAAAATATTTTTCAATACTAGTTATGTAGAATAGATGCTTGTAAGTGAAAGCTAGAATAAAATTACCATGATGTTATAAAACTGTACATAAACGAAATACACGAAAACTTTAGACTTTCTCGTTAGAAATTTGTAGAAAAATAGTATCTTTTAAATTGATCATTTTAAGTCTGGAGAAAACCATAAATTTATAATTCAGTCTTTATTTCATATTATTTATGGAGAGAGATAAAAAATATTACTTTTTATGTTGGTACATTAAATGCACAATTGGCATTTTTCTTACCATGAATAGGACTCCTAAATATAGCAACAAAACCATTCATATTTAATCTTTCCATGTATTTGTTACATAGAACACTTAAACCTATAATGTACAACTTCTCCGCTCTATTACTATGACTTTGGAAAGATTGATATTGGAGTAAGACTGAATTATTAACAAGAAAAGCACTACTTAATAACTCAGTTAATTTTTGTCATGAAGCAAACCTTACTCAATAGCATTTTTTATTCTACTTTGAATGTTTATGTGAACATCAGAAATAGATTCAGGATATGTTCTGTAGCAGGTGACTGCTGCCCAAAGGCCATTTTTTCTCTTACTCATTTAGCATCAATGAAATTTATTTAGGTAGGTCATAATGCACTGTACTATGAACATATGAAGTCATATTTTATTATAACTTTCCCTCTTTCCTTCATAGCATGCACAGGTACATTGCTGACTTGTGTTGTTGGTGCCAATTCCATCCAATGCCATTCTCCCCGTTTTAATCGGTATGTAGAAAAGTGCTAATATTTTTTTCTAACACTTTTATTTGCATATATTGTTTGAGCATGTATGTTATTTTCTTGTTTCAGAAAATGACTGGGGTTGATATGGATGCCTTGGAAATTAATGCTGATCCAGAAGAAGAGAAGAAAAATTATGATGGTGTGTTTTCATTGGTGGCCATAATTGCTGTGCTTATCAGGAAAATTAGTCAGAACTTAATTCTGGAATTTTTTGATAGCATAATAATACACAGTTAATTTTTAGCCACTTTTGGATGGAATTCATTTCTTCATCCCCATGTCCAGACTGACTGTAGGGCCCACCTCAGTTTTCTGTTTTGTTAGTACTGGGGACTGTGACTCCAGCTCTCAAGTGGTTGCAGCATAAAGCCAAGCACTCATCTGAGGTTTAAGACTGCATGGAGTTTTACTTTGACTTCCTTGCTTTGCCGTCATGGCATAATGCTTAGTTGCAGGGCGGCCTTATCTTCTACAGTGACCCGCTTTAATCAATAAGTATAATTTAGTTTAGGTTGAATACTGAATGGCAGTTAGTAACTAGCAAAGGTTCTAAGAAGTTTTCAGCATTTTTAAACCTTTATTCTTAAAGAAAACTAATAGTACAAATTAATGCTACCCATTTTGTAGTTTGTAGTAAAACATTTATTTTGTTATGTTCCAGAAGAACATTTTGTATGGCATGATTATTTAGAGTCGACAAATTCGGATGAAGTTCCACAGACATCATTTCTTCATGTAAGTTTTATCAAACTTTTAATACTTACTGTTTTACCTTGTGTCATTGTCCATATTTAACAGCATGATTGCATTAATGGTCATGGTTTGCACAATTTAGTGCAGACTGACTACTAATAAAAACACATAATAAAGTAATCTTAGAACTTAGCACCTTAGGCCATTCATATTAACTGAGGCTCTCGTGGCAGGTACTGGGGTCATACCTTAGTCTCATACTTTAGCCTCATGTACAATCTATCATTCAAAATCAACCTACCATTCAGTATTATATAGCAAATGACATTAATAAGAAACACAAAAATTGGTCACTTTGAATAGGAATGGCTTTATTTAGCACATCCTCGTACTTACACTGATGTATGAATTGATTTTCCTGTATCAGGTTGAGCAAAGCCTGCAGAATGGTCTTCATGAGGGCATGATGCTAGAAATTCCCAGCAGGGTGACTCCAAATACTTACTGGATAGCAACCATAGTGATGGCATGTGGACCATTGCTTAGGCTGAGATTTGTCGGACAAGAAGCTGATCGGACGCAAGACTTTTGGTACGATCTTACCAAAGTACAGGTGTACCCACTTGGTTGGTGTCGTGATCATCACCTCCGTCTTCAGCCACCGAGCGAACTTTTACCAAAACTTCTGGACTACGAAGCATTTGCCATACGAGCCTTGCAGAATGCTGTGTCTGTGCCACCAGAATTGTTGTCTGGTGTAAGTACTATTTAAATTGTTAAAATGTTTGACCTTTCCTTGCTAAATGTGTGGAATTTAGTATATCACCTGTGTCGACAGCATTGGCCTCTATGATATTTTCATTATCTTAATGTTTGTCTTTTCCCGCACCCAGAAGTATGGGCAGTTAAACAAACCGTGGTGCGTAGGTCATAATAGACTCATTTCAATTTTTTTGTAATAAAAATTGTGTTCTGTAGTGTTAGCTATTGTAAGGAAATCCCTGAGAAAGCCAGAGTAAAGCTATAATGACGTTTGTAAACTGTAATTACTTTCGAAGAACCAAAGGTTTTGCTCCAAGGAACTTCTACGATAAAGAAATGTAGTCGACCGTAGCAGTGTAATCTGCATACACATAAATAATGCGCGCCTGATCCTGTTAAACGACCGAATTAAAACTGCAATATCCTATTGTGTAAGTAAGAAACTCTTCTTTTCTTTTAGTTGCGCTGGGAATAACTTTGTGGTAAGTTAAATAATTAATTATGATTGATGTGTCTGTGAAAAAATCACAGTAAAAATTTAAAACGTTTGCACACATTTTCTTAATATGACACTAACAGATACTACATCTTGATTTAAAATATTTTTCAATACTAGTTATGTAGAATAGATGCTTGTAAGTGAAAGCTAGAATAAAATTACCATGATGTTATAAAACTGTACATAAACGAAATACACGAAAACTTTAGACTTTCTCGTTAGAAATTTGTAGAAAAATAGTATCTTTTAAATTGATCATTTTAAGTCTGGAGAAAACCATAAATTTATAATTCAGTCTTTATTTCATATTATTTATGGAGAGAGATAAAAAATATTACTTTTTATGTTGGTACATTAAATGCACAATTGGCATTTTTCTTACCATGAATAGGACTCCTAAATATAGCAACAAAACCATTCATATTTAATCTTTCCATGTATTTGTTACATAGAACACTTAAACCTATAATGTACAACTTCTCCGCTCTATTACTATGACTTTGGAAAGATTGATATTGGAGTAAGACTGAATTATTAACAAGAAAAGCACTACTTAATAACTCAGTTAATTTTTGTCATGAAGCAAACCTTACTCAATAGCATTTTTTATTCTACTTTGAATGTTTATGTGAACATCAGAAATAGATTCAGGATATGTTCTGTAGCAGGTGACTGCTGCCCAAAGGCCATTTTTTCTCTTACTCATTTAGCATCAATGAAATTTATTTAGGTAGGTCATAATGCACTGTACTATGAACATATGAAGTCATATTTTATTACAACTTTCCCTCTTTCCTTCATAGCATGCACAGGTACATTGCTGACTTGTGTTGTTGGTGCCAATTCCATCCAATGCCATTCTCCCCGTTTTAATCGGTATGTAGAAAAGTGCTAATATTTTTTTCTAACACTTTTATTTGCATATATTGTTTGAGCATGTATGTTATTTTCTTGTTTCAGAAAATGACTGGGGTTGATATGGATGCCTTGGAAATTAATGCTGATCCAGAAGAAGAGAAGAAAAATTATGATGGTGTGTTTTCATTGGTGGCCATAATTGCTGTGCTTATCAGGAAAATTAGTCAGAACTTAATTCTGGAATTTTTTGATAGCATAATAATACACAGTTAATTTTTAGCCACTTTTGGATGGAATTCATTTCTTCATCCCCATGTCCAGACTGACTGTAGGGCCCACCCCAGTTTTTTGTTTTGTTAGTACTGGGGACTGTGACCCCAGCTCTCAAGTGGTTGCAGCATAAAGTCAGTTTTCTGTTTTGTTAGTACTGGGGACTGTGACTCCAGCTCTCAAGTGGTTGCAGCATAAA